CCCCAAAAAAAAAAAAGTCGCATAATTTGTTCCAAGAACTATTGCATATGCGCCCTGAGCAAGTTTGTGAGATTGGCCACTGAAATCTCCAAAGAAAATCTGCCCTTAAGGCTGAAATCGCTTGGGGAAAAAGATAGAACATAACCATATAGTTATATAATTAAAGCTTTTATCATAATGCCTGTAGTCATAGATAAAGGTTGCACATATATGAGCAACAATTAATACAGAGTGAGGAAATTGGACTAATTACAGTTATCGAAATTATGTTGCAGAATATGTTTAAAAGCAAATGTGGTTATTGTGTGAATGTTTTGTCATAATTTAAAGAAGCGCTTTGTTTAGTAAGGGCTTTATGGATATGATCTTTACAGACATTTCAGGAACTAAAACTGCTTGTGTGTACGCGTGAGGAGATAGATCATGTGTTGTAGTTGGAAATATTCTAGTTTGCTGAGCTGTTAGTGAAAGGAGGAAGGACTTGATATGCCTGTTTGTTTATTTTCCATTAACAACATTTGAATCCCTTGGCCAGCACTAGCTGGATTGGACAGAGAAGTCTGAAAAATAATCCGGCAAGGAGCGTGACGCCCCAAAGAAAGGTTGCAGCATGAGTGGCAATACCTATCGCAGAATCTGTTCACAGCAGAATGCTATCTTGACGCACAAATTCTTAGAAAACAGGTTTCTTTCGTTCTGCTGCTTATGAAACTACTTGTTCTTATGTGAGAAACGTTAGGAGTTATTTTGTCCTTTAGACTAAAACATTGTTAAAACAGAAGACGCAAAAGTCTCAGTAATGTAACATTGTATTGTTCCTTCTTTCTCTAACCTCCCTTTCAGTCTGCTTATTGTCATAACGTGCTATTGTGTATCGTCTGCCTCCACTGCAAGTTCTTCGGATTCAGGAGGAGAGAATAGTTTGTCACGTGTTTGTAGAGCAGCTGGTTCACTAGAGTCTCTAAACAGATCCTGGCACCGCACTAAAATAAGCAGCAGTAAACAGTTCACTGGTACAAACAGCAAACTAGCTTTTATTCCTGAAACAGACGGCACAATTTGGAATAATTATTGTGACATCAAGTAAGCTCTAACATACCTGAGTTACTTACCAGAATCCAGGGACATTTTTAGGAGTAAGCGTGCATGGCAACTGCCAGGGCAGCTCATGGAAATCCCAGTTTCATGAATTTAGGTAGCAGTGCGGTGCTGGTATTCTGTTGTGCAAGTGGGTGAAGGGAGCCTCTGCCCAGAATCCCCACAGCTGCTCTGGAAGGAGGTTGCACTGCAGGCTTCGGAAGACCAGCAAACACACAAGACAGCCCAGCTAAAACCAAGCAGAGTGAAGAAGAAATATTAAGTAGGGACTGTTGGTAGTACAAGTGAAGACAAAGATGCCCATAGTCAGACTCATTGTTACTTCCATACAGGTCCTATTGATAGGATTACAGTTGTGTAAAATCTAATAACAATCTAAAAAAAAATCTAGTAGAAACTGATGCAAGATCTTTCTTAGAGAAGCTACTTATGCTGAAAACAAAGTTATATACTTGTCATTACAGCCATATTAAGCTATCTTCCATAGAAAACTATTCAAACACTTTGTATGCTCTCAGGAAAATCTTAGGCAATATAGAACCTCAGACAGTTCCTGCAAAATGCAAAACATGGGTGCGTTGTCTTTCACAGTAAATCATTAGAGTTTGCATATTGTTTTGTAGAATGCCAAGAAACTGATGTTTCAAAGAGAGTTGAAACAGTAAATACAGGAAGATATGTGCTAATTATTTTTCATTATATAGTTTTAATTCCTTCACTGCTTACCCTAAATAGAATAAATGCATAGTTGTATAAATATAAGTATAGATTTATTTTTATAAATATATGCATTATAGATAGTAAATTTTATATAGTTGTGTGTGTGATATATATATATATACTATACATAGTAGTACAATAGTGATGTATTCTGTATGTGTATATTTGTATTTATATTATCACCACATGTATTAACATATCTATATAGAATTTGTAGAGTATATTAATATATGTTAAACTTTATATAGACATATACATACTCTCTATACACAAGCATGCACCATACAGCTTCTTCCTACATCTTCTTTCAGAACCATCTCTCTAGGAAATGTCCATGCGTCTTAATGGGCTTAATTTTGCTGTGTGCTCCATCACATTTTGCATTTTCTAGTCTGAGACAGAGACTGAACATAAACTAGCTGCAGTTATAATGGTATGTGATTCTGGCCTACAGTGCGCACAAGTTTAGATGCAGTTTAGTGTCTGTGTCTTGCTTAAAGTTACAAAAGATATTGTGAACCCTCAGAATAAAAGCTGATATATGATTTTATTCTTTATGCAGACCTCTTTCTACTTTTGCTGTGGCATCAGGGTTTTAAAGTGAATACACTCCTCTGCAAGTGCTGCAGAATGAAGACTCTGAAGTGATTCAGTTCCCTATTGCAGATTAAAAAAAAAAAATTCACCGTTCTACACCCTTGCAGTATCTCTGAGCACCTTCAATGTAGGAACCCCATTATTCAAAATAAAAATATCCATAGCCACCCTCTAAGGGTAAGAATTAAAAATGTATTAGTAATAGTGATGAATAATTTATGTATGAATTTCAAGAGGCTAGCACAAGTTCAGAGCTGTGTATGCAAGTAAAGTTCAGAGCTGTGTATGCAAGTATATATGCAAGTGTGTCACATGTCGAGGAGGGTATCACTCTGTACTTTTCAGTGATCTAATCATAAAGAATAAATTTGATATCTATCTGGTGTATGTGTAAAAAGAAGTCACACATCTGGTTATTTATTCCATGTTCATTCGCTAGTCTGATTAGACCCTTGGGAGGTTGCATATGTCCTCCTGTTTGGGTTAATAACAGCTTGAGGTCGTTTGGATGATACTAATGGAAAATGTTTTTAAGTACTATTTTTCACTAGAGAAAAAGAAAATACTGTAAATGTTGAACGCCCAATGGTATTTTCTGTGAGTCTGTGTGTTCATTGCTTGGGTAAGTCTCCTACTGGATTAGTCCATTTCACTCACTCACCTCTTGTCGTGTAGCTTCATTTGAACAAAAAATTTTACAGGTCTTTGTCTAAGCTAATGTTTGTGTTTTCCTCTGCTATGTCACATGTCATATTTTCTAATCTCAGAGTCTGGTTCTAAATGGGCTGCATTTATGATTGTATGTTAACTCTGGCCTACAATGTACATGAGATCGGATTCCGATTTTTTTTTCCTGAATGATTTCTGTTCCTTTAATATGTAACTCAGACTTCTCTCGTCTGCATATACAAGGTGGTATGGTGTGGGTGTTTCGCGTCTCTAGCAAATACATGGGATATTGTCATTAACATTATATTGGTAAATCACCTAAGCCACTTCCTGTAAGCTTTGTATCAACAAGTAATCGTTGTTAGCCTGTGTTTCACTCCACCTTTGTTCACGCATACAGATAACTTTGTTTCTAACATAAAACTTTAATCTTAGTTCTGCTAGCACACCGGATACGTATACTTCAATTATTGTGATAAAATTCATATAAATATTACTAGACTGTAGAATTCTAATGATAAAAAATAGCTTAAGGATGTTTTTCTATTGAGGTCAGTTTTCTCTATAAGCAATAACCATGCCTATCCCAAACCCAGTAAAATTCTTTTCTTTTACAGCTCCTGGGGACACAGAACACAGCACATTGTAACTACAGCAATAGACTCAACTGCGAAAGATCTCTATCAGGCATCACAGAGAATCTGAGGCAGCTGGCAGTTATCAGCTGAAGCAGGTAGTCAGTAGACGTGTAGAAGAGAAATAGATAATAGAAAAGCAATCTGGAAACCTTGGAAAGATTATAAACCTCCCTTCTAGAAGGGAAGTAAGAACTCAGGTGGGTCACTGCTGAGCTCGACTTCTAGCTTAGTTGTGCGTCTACAACTACTGAAAATACAGCAACAGTTTTACTGTTCATGCCCATTAACTCTGAAGTAATATTCAAGTTGTGGGAAACATACTTTGACGTATTCGGTTATAAAAATCACTATTACAGTAAAGTGAAGAAGGATCTTACTACCGAAAGACAGACAACCAAAATCTCAGAGACAGCCTGACCCTCCATTGAATTACAGTTGCCAGAATAAAAAAACCATTTACGCTCCCTTCTTATTTTACATGCTACTATATGTATACTGTCAATGCAGCCATTACACAATATTCTTGTCATAGTAATCATGGTCCTCTCTGGAGCGCAGGATTTTGTGTGTGTTTATGTGTGTGTATGTGTGTGTGTAACTGCTAGCTGTCCTAAAATAGCTGAACCATTCTATTTTCCCTAGCATTAGCCACAGAAATTAGAAAGATCCTTGTCTATGATAGGAGAAGTATGTGGTGATTTTAGTAGCTGTATATTCAAACAGTCCTACAAAATATCTTTCTAATCAGGTCAGTCATATTTACCAAATTCCTACCTATGGAGAGTGTGGAATCTTGCACAAGCTTGTTAGGAAACTGATATATGTTTGATAATTCTTCTTGCCCAGTTTTGACAAAATTTAGGTGCGTCCGTGTTGCTGGTAATGTAAATCCTGTGTATCCTTTGAAAAATCTTCTCTATAATTCTTAAGAGTATGAAATGAATAAAAAGTAATTGATGTATATGTTTTCATTGTTATTATGTACTATTATAACATGTACTGTAGTATGCCACTGAGCAATAATTAATTAAGTGCCCTTGTACATTCCAGCTCCAAATAGTGATTACTTGGGCTATTTTTCCTTTCATGTCTCTTTCTATGACTTCTTAAGTACTAAAAGTTCAGACTTTCAAAGTTGACATAGGTTAGAAGTCTAAAATGATTGTATTGTCTTATTTTGGTGCCTGAGTGATTTTTAAATTGTACCGGTATAATTCTATTGATGAACTCTGCCCAGTGTATATCCATTTTTTTTTATAACAGTCTCTCAGTTTAAGATGTTATGGAACTGTAAGTTTCTGCTCTTCTGTTATAAGATACACCTAACTTCGTAAAAGCATTTTAAATAGCAGGAAAATTTTCTTTCTGACTTAAGCAATTTTATTTGTTTTTAAGGGAAAAAAACAGTAAAAGAAGATGACAGAGAAATAGCCAAAATATAGAGACCATATTAGATAAAATTTTAGAGTGTATCTGAATATTTCCTGTGTTAGATTGCAGTATATCAGTAATTATCACTAAACAGTACAAAAAGTGCGTAGGGAATATATGGAGCCAGAAGTAAGAAGGCATCACTCACAGGGAATCATCCCTTCCATTTGGATAGAAACTGGTCTTTTCCACTTTTTTCTCTCTCATGAATCCTTTGAATGTTTCATTCTTTTTCTATACTATGATCCAGATTCAACAGAGATCTGGAAAAATGGAGAATAAATAGTTCATCTCAGTCTCTGGTTATGTAACTGTCTGAGATTTAGGCACTCCCTTAGGAGGTATAAACAGAGGGATGTCTAAGAATTTCTTTCTGGTCAAGTTCCCTAATCTGTGCATAAAAGGAAGCATATTTCATCATCTAATTGTGCTCAAAAGTGAATTCATTGTTCTGAATCTCAAAAGGATGAAGGTGTGTGTTCTACGTACAAAGATGAATTAGATAACTGTTCCAACAAACATCATGATTTAGCATTCCCAAAGACACTTCCTGTACAGCCAGGGGAAAGAGAAAGGCTTCCTACTTAAGCTTTCCGAATTTCCTCTTGGAGGCACTTAACTCACTGGCTGGATGAGAGCTGGGGTGCCCAAGATAACAATTCTGAATCATCCTGCAAGGCAGATGTTATGACACTGACAGTTGCAACGGTCTGAACACGACTCAAAGTTTAAAAAGACTGCTTTGCAGAAACCTGAAACTTATATATGCATACTCTGCTGTGATGGGATCACATTCTTCTCTCAGGTTAACATGAAAAGCCAGCTCCTGAGTTGAATGTAACTTGGTCTACTGAATATCTTGAATATCTGGCCTGTATAATTGTTCTTCAGTACTTTCACTTGTTATTCATTGTGTTGAAAACACTAGACTGTATAATCAAAATCAGTCAGGAAGAACTTTTACTTCTTGCCTCTGTGTCTTTTTAAAGGCACAGTTTTCTTTACAACTGTCCTCTGCGATAGTCACTTTTTTCCCAGAGTGGGCAAACCTAACAGATAGAAGTAAATTTTGAATATTAGTTCTTTACAATGCTTCACAACTGTAAAAATCCTCAGTATATCATGTATTTGCTTTTTTGACTGATCCAGTCAAAAATACAGTCTTGTAACTTTAAACATCAGTGTGTGTGTTGTGGGGGCTACAAGCATTCTCCTGACAAGCAAATCGGTGCCGGGAGAATTCTGAACAAGAAAGCACAAGGTATTTATTTCTGTGGTTCTATTGGGGTAGAATTTAACTCTTCTTTGGAAAAGGCCTCAGACTGCTAATCCAAACGTCGTTTCTCCCAAGACTTACATGGCATGGCAGAGCTATGTGTTTGCAGGTGTTCCTATATACGCTTTTTATTTCTTTTTGGTGGCTCTCTTATTTTCTAACATCTAGACTGTGCTGGAGACTCTTCTGATCTCCTGGGATCACATGTTTCTGCTCTGGTTATTCCAGTCTTTATAGCATTCTAGAAAGGGTCTCAATCCTTGGCCTTCACTTTATTTTAATAAATTGTTTTCTGAGCTTTCTGTTCTTTTTACTGCCTCCAGGTACTGCTTGTCATTCCCTTGTAGAACTACAGTAGATTATCCTATAAAGGAAGCAGACATTTCTTTTTCCTGTAGGTAATGAGTCTTTGTACTGAGCCATCACATATAATCTGACGGACTGTACCCCGTCACAAAATTAATAATAAAAATTTCTTTCTTCATGTTTCCATTTTATGGTCGGTCTTTGTCTCACCGTGTGTAAAGTTTTTTTGCATACACAAATATGATGTCTAGTATTGTAATATCCACTTGCCATCAAGTAACTTGAATTCTGCAACAGTTAATTGTGATCTAGGGTGGGATTCCAGTGGAGGTTAAGATACCTTAAACATCTATATGTAGAAGTGACCAAATGTAAGCTGTGCGTGGAAATTCTCGTTATGGACAATAGAGTCAATACAATCAGTGGAGCCTAATCAGTGACTCCTCAGTAGTTGACGAGCTACTATGCATATATTCCAGAATGAGATGGCTTGTTCTGTAGGCACCATCTGAACACAATGAAAAAACATGATATTTGTAAAATGTCAGTATCATTTTCTGTGTATTGCAGTTCTCTACAGGATGCAGCTCCCCGAAACGGGAAGAATATTTCACTGTAATCATGAAGTTTCTGACAAAAATAATAAAAAGATCTATCTTGAATATTCCCAAAGTTAAATTGGCATATCATAAAGTTATCAAATCTCAGCATTTGCTGTGTTTGGTGCACATCACACACTTGTATACTCTAAACTAGATATGCATATTTAGTGAGGAAAATGAAATCTCTAGGTAATCTTGGGCATGAGTTTATCCTGTACCAGTGCAATGATGTCAGTTCTTGAATCTGTTGGGCTTTTTTGATACATTTATGATACTAACAGAATTATTAGGGTTGGTATCTGTAATAATGGGAAACTGCATTGGTTGATGCAGATGGTTCCTCTGAATTCTGTTTGAGGGTCTTACTGATCTGTACCCTTTGAACAAAATACTTTCCTCTAAACGCAGGGTTTATTTACTTTGGTAGCGATCGTATGAATCGGAGGAAGAGAAGGCATTAGTCCTTAGTCTACAGATTTTTACCTTCTATAGCACCTCCAATCTGTTTCATTTTAGAGTGCAAGGCTGATCTGAAGGATCAACAGCTAACATACCAGAGAGCAGGTTTGGATGCAACCATCAAACAAAAATGGAGTGCAATAACAAAGAGCACAATCCAAGTTATGGTAGGACTAAGGTTACATGGGGTGGCTACTAACCCAGGACAGCTACAGAGACAGAGCCTAGACAGCTGCAGAGCAGTGGCAGCTAGCCAGTGCTGTTGAACAGATGAAGGTGGGCGCACAAGAAAAGGACTTAAATCTCAGACATTAGCTGTTCTAATATAGAACAAACAAGCGATATAAGAACGTTAAATACCATGACAAGAATTACAATAGTTAGTTGAAACAAAGTTATTGGAGTTTCTAGAGCAACTTTTAGTATAGAAATTCTCAAATAATCAGTAATCTCATAATCAAAGTATTTAAAGAAATGCTAGCTTTCGAGACATATTTATTTTTTTTTAAATTCCATATACTAGCTACATAATAAACAGTCTTTATCATCCAATATGTCATATATTGAGTTGTTAAAGAAAGATCATGTCTTCATAGGCACATTTCAGTTTATGCAAAGATAATCCAAGCTATCCCAAACTGGGAAATGAGATCTGTGAGCCTGGGTATCCAACTAGCCCACTCTTCATAGTGGTACGCTGTATTTTTTGTAAATTAATTGTCCTTTGAACAAACAAAAACTATTTATGAAAGCCTTGTTTCTTTCTGAGAGTACATTTTCAGATATAATCTATAAACTGTGCACACCTGGCCTCACTGAAAGTGTTACTTCTCCTATCTTATTTGTAAAGCATGGTCATGCTTTACAATACTGTTGCAGACTCTACCACAGAGGCCTGGCAACTGGAAAAAAGACAAATAAATACCTAAAAAGGGAGGAGAAGAAATGTAGTGCACAAACATCTCTTCATAGAACCTATAGCTATCTGTACTTTTAGAACGTTATGGTTTTCTTTGTAGGATGTACTCAACTGGTTTGGAATAACCATGGTAACAGATCATGTCAGGATCAGTCTTCTAAATCTTTTATTTTTCCTTATGAAAATATACCAAATAATTATAAT